ACCCCTCAGCCCACTTCTGCACCCTCCCTACTGGCCAGACACTCTACTCCTAGCCTGCTCCTGCACCCTCCCTTGCTCCTGTCCTCTTCCCCCAGCCATATACTCTACTCCCAAACTGCTCCTGCATCCACCTCCCACCCAGACCTTGCACCCACACTCTCCTGTACCCCACCTCCCGCCCAGATCCTGCATCCCCATCCCTATCCCACTCACTGGCAGTCCTATCCTGCACACTGAACCCCTCATTTTGGGCCCACCCCAAATCCTAGTGGGATCCACAAAATCCACTAAACTTGGAACCCCAGAAGAATTCATCTGGTCTATGAGAAGCCCTGAACATCAGTCCTCCCTGTTCCTCCCACTCCTCTCCCCGCCCTCACTTTGGGGCGAGAGTGCCAGGGGAGTGAGATGTCTCAGTCGGGGGCCACATCAGTGAGGGCTGGGCGATTTTGAAGGAGTTTTTTTTACTTGTCATTTGTATGGTCTCTGGCTGATTTTTCTGTGCTTCAGTTGCCCCTGACCCACTCCTGCTATAAATATAGAGAATGTTGAAACCTTTTGTGTTGGAAATAAGTTAATATTTTACTTTATTTAAAATGAAGTTTGGTAAAGTAACATGAGAAAGTTAAATCCTTAATCTGCTTAATAGTTTCAATTAATACTCTTTCTTACTGGTAAATTAAACAGTCCACCCTAGCTGTAGCAGTAGCAAAATGGCTTGGGCATAATCATGTAATTAATGGCAAGTTTCCATTAGCAACAGGTGATCCAAGGAAAAGTTTGCTTTAAGTGGTATGGTCCACAGGCTAAAAAGTTTGAGAACCACTGTTCTAGCTGAAATTTGCCATTACTAGGCAAAATGTATCATAACTAGCAAATTGCATGAGTTCAGCTCGTTAAAGCTACTGTAGCATTTCTCCCCCCAGAGCAACCTGCTTAAAAGAAAGACACTACCTGTTAAAATCTAGAAAATTGGTAGCTGCAAATTCAGATATTAACGAGTGGGTTGGTAGCAGCAGCATTCATTGTTTCAGAGGGGTCAGTATATTATTTTCACAAGTTTCAGAGGGATAGCCATGTTAGTCTATTTCAGGAAAAAAAATAAAAGTGTCTTGCACTTTAAAGGCTAACAGATTTGGACATAAGCTTTCAGGGGCTGGAGCCTGTTACGTCAGATGTAGCTTATGCCTAAATACATTTGTTAGTCTTCAAGGTGCTACAGGATTCCTCATTATTATTTTACAGGTCCCAACCAGTTTGCAGCTTGAATCTTCATTCAGTTGTAGCTATTTCAAACAAAAAATAAATGGAAAATTAAGTATTTGATTGAAAAGTTTCTGTTGCTTAATTTCGTTCTAGGAACTAGAAGATGTGAACAAATGGGGCCTGCATGTTTTCAGAATAGCAGAACTATCTGGAAACCGACCTCTGACGGTCATCATGAATACCATTTTCCAGGTGAGCAATATGGAAGCAGCACTGGTACTCTTTGTAAATCAATTGTTACATTCCATATTTACTTAATTGTTTCCCTCTTTCTTCCTCCAGGAACGGGATTTGTTAAAAACATTTAAAATTCCAGTAGACACTTTAATAACTTACTTGATGACTCTAGAAGACCATTACCATGCAGATGTCGCATATCACAACAACATACATGCTGCAGATGTTGTTCAATCTACCCACGTTCTGCTATCAACTCCAGCTTTAGAGGTAATTCTACACATCCATGGAAAAGGGGAGAGGGAAATACATGCAAAATATCAAAGATTCTTCTAAGATAAATATAAATGATCCCTATGCCTATAATCCAATGGTTTTTTTTGTAATATAGTTTCCTTTCTTTTCTAAAGGAATGTAGTGAAGACCCTACTTAGATTTACTTACTTAGATTTGTCCAGTGACTAGTGCTAAATCAACCACATCATGTTGGTAACATGATAGTTTTGATCATCTACTTTTAGCTACAGGTTGTGTCCTGTCATTTCCCATAGGGTGTGTCTAGACTACATGGTTTTTTCCAAAAAAAAAGTGGCCTTTTTTTGAAAAAACTTCCCCTGCGTCTAGACGGCTGCTGCGTTCTTTCGAAAGTAAATCACAAGAACGTGGCAGTTTTTTCGACCGCGGAAAACCTCGTGTTATGAGGAAAAATGCCTTTTTTCGAAAGTGCTCTTTCGAAAAAAGGCACTCTGTAATGCAAACTGTGCTTTTTCGAAAGAGAGCATCCATTCTGCCTGGGTGCTCTCTTTCGAAAAAGTGGCTTGCTGTTTTGAAAGTACTGATTGTAGTCTAGACGCTCTTTCGAAAGAGGTTTGCAGTAGCCACAGTAAAGACAGGGATACCGGACTGTTGGGATACCAGACACTAGCTAATTGTATGATATTGTCCAATCTACTAAAGGTGGTAGATTGAAATAAGATATGCAACTCGAGGTATGTTAATTATATAGCTGGAGTCGACATACCTTAACTCTCATTGAAACCAATGGGAATTATACAGCAAAGGAAATGACAGGATGTGTTTCCCTAAGTAATATTATGCAATATTCCTTTTCATTTTTACATTTTTCTGTCCACAAGGCCACATTTATATTTTTCTGCCTTTCTAAACTGAATTTCTCTAATATTCCCTCCACCATGAAGCTTAAAATACGCAGGAAATATTCCCCCCATACATTAAATCCGTAATGGTACGGGTTGAACCTTCCAAATCCGGAACTCTTTGAGTATGTCTAGACTACATGGCTCCGTCGATGGAGTCATGTAGATGAGTTTACTAGACATAGGAAAATGAAGCGGCAATTTAAATAATCAACGCTTCATTTACATTAAAATGGTCTCCGCGCTGTGCCGATCAGCTGTTTGGTGGCACAGTGGGGCAGTCTGGACGCGCCGCGGTCGACAAGGGAAACTTTTGTCGACCGCTCTGGTAAACCTCATTTCACGGGGCATAATGGAGTGGTCGACAAAGGCTTCCCTTGTCGACCGTGGCGCATCCAGACTGCCCCGCTGTGCAGCCAAACATCTGATCAGCACAGCGTGGTGGCCATTTTGATGTAAATGAACTGGCGATTATTTAAATCGCTGCTTCATTTTCCTATGTCTGGTAAACTCATCTACATGGCTCCGTCGACAGAGCCATGTAGTCTAGACATACCCTTTGGTCCGGCAACATCCGTGGTCCAGCAGGGCCACAGATGTTGCTGGATCAAAGAGCTCCAGAGGTGGGAGCATGAGCCAGCTGAGACAGCGTGAGCTAGGGAACCCTGGCTAGGCCAGCAGTGTCTGGACCAGGGTGATGGCCGGGGGAGCTTCCACCCCGGCCAAGTAACCCCTAGTGTGGCTGGGGAATCCCGGCCCCAAGTGGGAAACCACAGCTGCAGTGGGTTCTGGTGGCAGGCAGCCTGACCAGGGATCTCCCCCCTCCCACCCGTCTCTGCAGCAGTTGGGAACCCCAGGATACCTCTGATGGCAGTGGGGCCAGATTGGGCAGTCTTGACCACAGAATCTGTGGCTGAAGCGGGGCTGGTAGAGGCGGGCAGCCCCAGCTGGGGTACCACAGGGAATTCCCAGTGGCAGCAGGGCTGGCCCTATCACCAGGGTGGTGTGGCTGGGCGATCCCAGCTGTGGAACTCCTGGTGGTAGTGGGGTTGGGGGAGGCTGGGTGGCCCCAGCCTAGGAACCCTGGAGAACACCATGTGGCAGCATGGCTAGCAGCAGACAGGCTGTCCCACTGGGGACTCCGGGAAACCTTGGGACAGTGTGTGGGCAGCAGGGTGGGGAGCCTGTGCCAGGTCAGCGTTAGTGGGGCAAACAGCAGGGCAGGCAGCCTGAGGGAGAGGAGCCTGGGAACAGAGCAGCCAACAGGGGAGTACCAACCTTTCCTGATCCAGCAAATTCCCTGGATTGGGACACCTCAGGTCCTGAGGATGCTAGATCAGGGAGGTCCAATTTGTAGTCTATTGTGTTAAAAAAAACCTCTTGAAATCCAGACTTTTTAAAATTGAATCCTCTTTACATGAGCTGTTTAAAGGAAAGCTTGTCTCTGAGGTGAAAGGAAGTTAGAGAAATGTTGGAATAATTCAGCCCTGTGTCTGAATGCCTCATCCATCCCTTGCCTTCCTTTTGTAGTGAATGAATCTGAAGAGCTCTAGGGATCTCTGAGAGGTCTGTTGGCTCCTAAAAGAATCAGTCCTCTTTGAGAAGATTTCCCTCATGTCAGGAAGAAGGCTCAGCTTCAGTTCATAAATGTGTTACCTCATGCTTCAGTGGGCAACCATATTGATTGTCAGTAACATGACTTGATTTGTTGAGTCAGTTATTCTTCACAGTCTTATTTTCAGCACAGTGTTTGAGTCAGTAAAATACTAATATCTCCTTGAATACTGTTGTTTATAGTTAATTTTCATGACTTCTAAAAGGAGAATCAAAAAGTTGTTGGATCCATACCTTGCAGCCTACAGATATTAAACTGATAAGAACAGATACTACACTTGATCTTAGCCATCATTTGGGAAGAATACTCCTTTTTAACATAGCCAATACATATTATATGTTGATAATATAAGCATGCATAATGCACCATAAATATACTACCTGGGGTAACACCATAGATAGGGCCCTTCCACATTCACAGCCATGAAAAATGCATCATGGATCAAGAAGTCTGGTCTCCCACCATGAAATCTGGTCTTTTGTGTGCTTTTACCCTATAATAAAGATTTCACAGGAGACCAGTGTTTCTCAAATTGGGGGTCCTGACCCAAAGGAGTTGCAGGGCATCACAAGGTTATTTTTAGGGTGGTCATGGTATTGCCATCCTTACTTCAATGTTGACTTCAGAACTGTGCAGCCAGAGAATGGCAGTTGCTGACTGAGGGCCCCGCTCTGCAGGCAACAACACAGAATTGAGGGTGGCAATGCCATACCATGCCATCCTTATATCTGCGTTGCTTCTGGCAGCAACTCTGCCTTCAGAGCTGGGCTCCCGGCTAGCAGCTGCCACTCTCCAAGTGCGCAGCTCTGAAGGCAGTGCCGCTACAAGCACCAGTGCAGAAGGGTAGCAGTACCATAACAACCCCCACATACATACACACAATAAACTTGTGCACATATACACACAAATCACAACTCTTTTTTAGCTCAGGACTCCTAGAATTACAAGGTTATGACATTTCAGATTGAAATAGCTGAAATCATGGTATTTATGATTACAGTATTAAAATCTATGACCATGAAATTGACCAGTGTGGGCCATTAATTTGGTAGGGCCTTAACCATAGTGTGTAATAATGACTTAGACCAAAATCTTCAAACCTGGGTAGATATTAAGGTTTAGGTGCCTATCAATATTTAGTGTACTCAGTATATGATCTTGTTTATGGATAGGTGCTGAAAACCCCACATTTGTTTGATTCCATTGAATTTAGGGGGCTTTCAGTACCAAATTTGAAATGGCTTGTATATGTAATAGACTATTTTCCATGGCTTTATTATATTTAACATATATTTAACTTTTTGAAGTACCTGTTCTATTTAAACTATGTTTAAAGAGTTTTTATTTGTTTATCATTTTATTTTTTCAAATATTAGTTTTTAAACTTTAAAAATCAATGCATTGTCCTTCTACTGAAAACGCAGTTTCCTCAGTTAGTAACTGTTTCTATTGTATGATTTTCCAGGCGGTGTTCACTGATCTGGAGATTCTTGCTGCAATTTTTGCTAGTGCAATACATGATGTTGATCACCCTGGGGTTTCAAACCAATTTCTTATCAACACAAGTAAGCATAGGGGTTATTTTTTCTAATATTTACAATTTTCTGCTTGGTATCCTATAAATCATGTACATAGAAAATGCTTCCCGGGTGGGCTGTGTGGTGGCTGCCCAAAACTGAAGCCAGGCTGTGGTGCAGCTACTCCTGGGGCTGGGGTCCCCTGCATCTCTCTTCCTGCTCCCACACCTCTTTTGCCTCTCAGAGCCTCCTGACCCCAACCCTCTGCCCCCTGTCCCCCTCCCCACATGTCACTGTCCCACTCCCACCCCCACCACCTCACTCCCTGCAAACCCTGGTTGCTGGCAGCAGCTCCCTAGGTGGAGACTCCTAGCCAGCCCCGTGAGGCACAGCCTGAGGCAGTCCCTGAACTGCACACAGGCTGCCTAGGGAATTGGGCAGGGAGGGCATGTCTTATCTTCTCCCCAAGAGGTGGGGGGGGGGTGCTACCTAGAAGTGTCTCTTGGGGATGGTGCCACAGGGGCACACATCCAAAGAAGCACACATAACCTCATTGTTAGCACACAAGACAAAACTCACTCCGCTCATGGATGGAAAATCTGAGAGGGAACACTGGTGACAGACCCCTATATGAACAAGGAAGCAGGGAGAGGTGGAGCAGCCTACTACCTCCTCTGAATATTAAGTCCAGTGTACCAGTGATTTGTTCTGCCTTGCTCATCTCTGTGCTACAGTATTACACGAATCCTCCCAGTTTTCTACTAAAGATGAGCATGACTTTTATTTTTTAAGATCAGATTGTAATAACTCTACTAAATAGCACCTTGCTCCATGTGTAACCTCATTGATTTGAATGGGACTATTTGTGGAGTAAGACATTATACAACATGCATAAGGTAGCACAGTGTGGATCAATGTAAGTTTCTTTATACAGCACTAGAAGATTTACCCAGTGTTTTTGGATCCTTAACTCATGGGCAAGCTCCATGAGTGCATGTTTCCCAGCTGGACAGGTCCAGGTTTGTCCACCCCATGCATGCCTCAGGCAGTGTGAGGAATGTAGCAAACTGTGCATTTTCCCTTTGCTCTCAGACAAAGGGAACCAGCCAGCAATATCCCCATACAAATTAGAGGTGACAGACAAAGGGAAACAGCCAGCAATATCCCCATACAAATTAGAGGTGGGGAGCGTCACCCTAAAGGGTGCCTGGGGGGGTGGGACAAGGGAGGGAGGGCGCACCCCCAGCCAGCCCTTTTTACTAGCCTAGTGATTCTCTTTCTTTTCTGTATGTCTTTATGAGAAGCAGCCCCATTCAAAGCACATCCCATTTCCTGGCACAACCAACCCATACCTTGCTGTAAATTGTGATAAGAAGAAGCTGTACACTGAATGTAGTGGCCCTAGCTCTTACTGTTTAGGAAAAATTCTTGAACAAACAGACAGACAGACAGATAATTGTTTTTGCCATCCCTTTTACAGCAGCTAACCAGAAATATCAAGGTTGAAATTACATTGAGGCTCTGAGAAAGATCAAGAAAATGGAATCCTATCTGTGGATGTATCATTAACCCATCTATGTACCTATTAGTAGACATGTAGTTAATTTCTGCACTTGACTGACTCTATTGCACCAGTGCTAGGATGCCATGATCCTGCAGTCTCAGGAAGGGTGTTCCAGCATTTACTTTTTTGCTGTTATGGGTTCCAGTCACACCCTGAACATTATTTGAATTTATTTTTATGTGCTTTCACAGCCTAAGGGCTACCCTCTAGTGAAATACAAATGGGTGACTCATCCATAAGGCGGAGAATTGGGAATGTCACAGACATTTCGAAGCTACATTGATAACAACTGCACTTCCAACAGCTCAGCATAAGAGCAGACTGAACCAGGCTTCGTATACAAAATAGCATTTAATATTAAATCTCTGAAGATGTATAAAACCATTTTCTGGGTGTACTCAATGATAACATGCAATTACGATGGCATGAACCTGCCACAGAATTAGATGAATTTAGGTTAATTTAAGTAAAAGCATTTGGGTCTGGGAATTATTTTTATTGATTTCTGGGGATATTGCTGAATTTTTGTGAGATTACCATTGGGAGACTGGGGGTATGTCTATACTACAATGTTAATTCAAACTAACTTAGTTCGAATTAGTTAATTCGAACTAAGCTAATTCGAACTAACGGATCCAGACTAAAAAACTAGTTCGAATTAGCGTTTTGCTAATTCGAACTAGCATGTCCACATTAAGTGGACCCTGAACCGGGCTTAAGGATGGCCGGAAGCAGTGCCGGCAGAGCATCAGAGGAGGACTTAGAGCGTCGAGATGCTGTCTCAGGCTAGCCGAGGGCTGTGCTTAAAGGGTCCCGACCCCCACCCCGGACAGACAGTTCTCAGGGGTGCCCCGCTTGCAAAGCAGTCCTGGCCTGGATTGCCTGGACTACCCACACTGGGCACATCACACCACTCGGCCATCAGCCCGGCTGCACTTGCCGCAGGCTGCCATCTGGGGAGAGGGGGCAATTGGGGGGCTGCAGGAGAGGTTCCACCCCCAGAAGCCCGCAGAGCCAGCCCAGTCCTCCCCATCGGGGGCTCGTGCCCCATTCCTCCCTCACCTCCTTCCACTTACCCTTCCCTAGCCCCCCTTCTTATTGATGTACAAAATAAAGATAACGTTTCTTCCAACATTGACTCTGTCTTTATTGAAAAAAACTGGGGGAGACTGGGAAAAGGAGGTGGGAGAAGGGAAGAGAAAGGCTGGGAGAGGGGAGGGCAACTAACATGATCAGGGGTTGGGAACAGGTCCCAGATGAAGAAAGGCTACAGAGACTGGGACTGTTCAGCTTAGAAAAGAGGAGACGGAGAGGGGACAGGATAGAGGTCTCTAAAAGCAGGGGTTGGGTGGAGAGGGTGCATTCAGAAAAGTTCTTCCTGAGTTCCCATAAAGAAGGACTAGAGGACACCAAAGGAAAGGAATGGGTAGCAGGCTTCAAACTAGTAACAGAAAGTTATTCTTCACAAAGCAAAGAGTCAACTTGTGGAACTCCTTGCTGCAGGAGGCTGTGAAGGCTACAACTAGAACAGAGTTGAAAGGGAAGTGAGATCAAGTCATGGAGGTTGGGTCCATGGAGTCCTATTAGCCAGAGGGTAGGAGTGGTGTCCCTGCCCAAAGTTTGTGGAAGGCTGGAGAGGGATGGCACGAGACAAATGGATTGGTCACTGTCTTCAGTCCATCCCCTCCGGGGTCCCTAGGGTTGGCCTCTGTCGGCAGACAGGCTACTGGGCTAGATGGACCTTTGGTCTGACCCAGGACGGCCATTGTAAGCTCAGGGCTCAGGGTCGGGGGTCTCAGTGGACCCCCTTGATTTTCATGCACACCTGCTCCTGGGTGGCCAGGCTGGCAGCTCTCCTGCCCTAGACGGCCACTTTCCTGTGCCTAGTGCGGAGATCGTGGACGAGGTCCACGATGTC